AGAAGGTAGATCAACAGTAACAAACTTATTAGAATTTTATGATGAGGTAAGCCAAATCTTACAGGAAAGAGAGGGCTGGGCAGATTGCATATTCCTAGACTTCCAGAAAGTGTTTGACACTGTTCCACATGGGAGACTTATTAGGAAGCTGCAATCAATGGCTAGAATAGGTGGAAATGTTTTGGAATGGATAAAAACTTTCTTAGAAGGAAGGGAACAGAGGGTTAGAGTAAGACACTCAGTGTCTGAATGGAGAAGAGTTAGTAGTGGAGTTCCACATGGTTCAGTTTTAGGGCCACTTTTGTTCCTTGTATATGTAAATGACCTACCAGAGTGTGTAAATTCATTCATGAATATGTTTGCAGATGATGCAAAGATTGTGAAGAAAGTAAAAAACGAGAACAATGGTGGAGAACTTCAGGAGGATCTAAATAATCTGCATGAGTGGTCAGAAAAGTGGGTAATGAAATTCAATACTTCAAAATGTAAGGTAACGAGAATGGGTACAAGTGCAAGAAGGCCCAAGCTTGACTACACGGTGGCTGGAGTACAACTTCAAGAGACAGAAAATGAGAGAGATCTAGGAGTAAACATACTGGCAGATTTGTCTGCAGAAATACATATAAATGGCATAGTAAGGGCAGCATATGCATTCTTATCAAATGTAATTTAGCCATCAGGCACAAGGATAGGTGAATGTTTAGAAATATTTATGTAACCTGAGGCCAAAACTGGAATATGCAGCCCCCTTTTAGAATCCGCACTTGAGAAAGCACATAGCTAAGCTTGAAAAAGTTCAAAGACATGCCACGAAACTGGTGCCAGAAATACGCAATCTCAGTTATGATGAGAGGCTGAGGGAATTAGACTTACCATCACTCGAAGCTAGAAGATTGAGGAGGGATATGGTGACAGTCTTTAAATTTCTTCATGGTTATGATAGAGTGGATAGGGATCGATATTTTGATATGGCAGGCTCTAGAACTAGAGGTCATAGTTTGAAGCTTGGTAAGAAAACTTGTTTGCAGGATGTAAGGAAATACTTTTTCAGTGTAAGAGTAGTTAATAATTGGAATTCGCCAAGCGAGGAGGTAGTTAATGCTATCTCAATCAATAGTTTTAAGGACTGGTATGATAAGTATCACTAAGTACAAAATGGAACCGATGAGGAAACGGGAAGATACGAGCTTTGGGCTCTTTCCCGTAAACACAATTAGGTAATTTCAATTAGGTAATTACACACACAAATTAACATGTTGAGCTTATTTACAGTGTACATTTATTTTACATTGTCACTTTGGATGTTGTGCTTGATTAAAAGTATTATTCCTCTTATTTTTGGAAAGTAATTGTTCCCACTACAGACCCCAATTCTTGAACATTGGACTATTGGATTTAATGGAACAAGGTCCCTTCTACTTGTCCATTAAATTGAGGGTTGAGTATATCAACATCTCTCAAGAAAATGGACTCTTCCATAGTTATTTCAGTTTTGTCATAGAGCAACTAAACAAGGAGGTTTTCGTGACTAATAACCTGAAACCTGGTAATTTATGTGTATTTCTATGCAGTTTTGAAATATACACTTCATAGCTTAATACTTGTTCTACATTTATGCAAAATACAGTATTCGGTACCTTTTAATAATTGTACTTGCTTTACTGAATCCATTAATGAAAAGAATAATATTGAGATCCGTGATTTTTTTTGCACTCTTAAGAAAATTGGCTTCAAGAACATAATGGAGCATGAATATATTTTTAATGATCTTTTAATTTGTGGGAGTGAGTGAATAAATTGCCACTTTAATGTCTAAAAAAATTGGGTAATATTTTGATTATATCTTCAACAACAGAGATGCAGATAAATTTGAATGAACTCTGTAAAAAATATATAAATAGATGTATAAAATGGTACAGCTGAGATACACATTTGATTTATTGAATAAAACGAAAAGTTCAAATACTGTATATGATTTTTTACTGAGCTTAATCAAAGAAAGAATATATTATCTGTAAAAATACTCAGCAGAAAGTTGCATAGAACACTGTAGTCCAATGAGAGAGACTAATTTCATAATATAATAATAATATGGAAACTCCTTTTGCATACGGAGTTAATATATAACAGCTTAGAATGCAATGAGTGAACTGACGTTATGACTTTATGAGAGGCATGCATGCACAACTCATACCTCCAGAAATATATTCAATACGTAAGGAAGGGTTACATATCTGTACCCTCCATGGAGCTGTAATATTGATGAAACTCTTAATATTTATTGATATGTTTAATCCAGGATACTGGAACTGTAATACAGATGGCGATGATTGGTGTAAGGGTATTCACTCAGGGTAACAGTCACACTTGCCAAAGCCAATGTCCTTCAAAAGAAGGTGCCGTCGTAGCCCTTAGTAGAAAAGGGTGTCCCTGACGTAAAGTAAATCATCATACAAATGCAGATCATGCATAGTACTTAGACATTTTTATATATTTCCATTTGAATGAAATGAATATCTTGTAACACTGTATATCATCAATGCCATGAAAAAACTTAAGTTCATACAAAAAGCTCTATTTTAATTACACACTGTGACATTTCTTGGATATACAACTCTACCCTGTAATTTTATTTTTCAGGAGGGTGATACAATTACTCTTACTCAAAGGATCGACGATAACTGGTACGAAGGAACTCTAAATGGAAAGACAGGAATGTTCCCAGTTTCATATGTTAATGTAACTGTTCCCTTACCATAAGTTATTTTCTGTACTCTCTCCACCTCTACTTTAAACCCATGGGTGCTGATTACTACCAATTTATTTGTACGATGTTTTGCTATGATATACTGTACATTGCACTATACCATTTGCATTTTCAAATCGTGAGGGGGTTATCTACATTAAATATTGAGTGAATTCTTCAAGGTAAAATATATATATATATATATATATATATATATATATATATATATATATATATATATATATATATATATATATATATATTATATTATATTATATTATATTATATTATATTATATACGCCCCATATCCACTGGAGTAAGGTTTAAAGATACTTCCCCAGGATATCTGAAATTGTGGATAATATGAAATTCTGTATACATTATGGTTTTGCCGTAGTGCATACCAACAATATAGTTTAATTCATATCTTAGGCATAACATAAGATGAACATCAGTAACTGGTGGTAAAACTGCATAAATACAACTATATACTCTAATGAAAGTTATGTGAATATGGTTTAAATCATAAATTAATTATTTCAGGAATTTCAGTTAATATTCTCGGACTGTGGATAAGGGAGACCAATGTATATCAGTATTTATATTTAGGATGATGTGAAATTACACTGTGTGGGAGTTCAAAATGAACTTTCAGATATGATTGGCCTTCTTTTTCATAAAACATCTCTGTTTTCATCCAGTGCTTAATTGAGTATTGATTTTTATTCTGCTGTATTGAAATGGGAAATGAAACGAGGACATATTTACTCTTTTTAAATGAACTTTCTAATTAGATTCCTATCCTTTGTCAGTACTTCTCTTGTGTCATCTTGGTCTAAATTAATTTTCATTATTGTTGTACTGTTACCTCCTGGCTTACTATATTAGGATACATCATAGTATATTCACTGAGATCTTCAGCCAGATACAGAATGAATTGATATTCAGAGTAGTAAGTATAAATAAACTGAATGGATTACATTTAAGCAGGAGTGTACAACAATAGTAAGTTAATGATAATTTGTAACAGAATGAAGAGCTTTATGGATATGACATATTAATACTTCCAGTACCCTCATTTCCCAGTGATAAGTATAACCAAACACAGAGATAGATATTAAAAAAATATGATGTAGCTTAAACGTAAGTTATACAGAGTGTATTAAAATTATTCCCATGGGTTTGGGTAGGTATACTAAATTGAAAATTTTAGTGGAGGTGCCTTTGTTTTCAGCGTTTTCTGGAGAAATCATTTTGATCAGGTTATTGCAAAAAAATATTATGTCTGTTCTGTACTCAATGTGAAATACATTAGCAGTTCCTTGACATACAGTTTAATTGCCACTTAGAAAGTTTAATATTTTAAGGGCATTTAGCCACTCTGTTAATATAATGTAGATTGCTCAGAAAAACATCTGCGTATTAAATTATACTATTTGATTCCAAATTTGTTTCACAGCCTGTGGTAGGGAATCGAAACTTAGACCACTAAAAACAGGAGTCTAAGCTTAGTTCTGTTCTATTGGTCCTCGGTTCAGCTCCACAGTGTATAAGAAAACAATATAATTGTATGAAATGCTTGAAGGCATTCCTGAATGCTGTATATTATATTGATATATTATCTCTTTAAGTAGTAGGTCTGTTTTCATGGAACCAAAAACGAAAGTTTTTGTCCAATTTCAAGGTAAAAGTGTAGTATTAGCAAATGTTTACACAAGGTAGTATTCAGTCATCCATTGCAATGATTCTTAATACTGTGTACCACTCTGTTGAGATCTGTTTGCTCATGCAGTAATCTTAACAATCTCTTGCTAAGAAAAATAGTGCCATTAATTGTTATCTGCAGGTAAGCAAATATAATAACAGTCACCAGTCATCTTTTAATATAATTGTAAGCATCCTAAATTAAAGGAATGAAGTACATTTGGCCCAAATATATATATATATATATATATATATATATATATATATATATATATATATATATATATATATATATATATATATATATATATATATATAATTTTTTACCCCGACTAAGACTTGAACTTAGGACTTATTATTACTAAGTAAATGCGCTACCAACTACACTTCAGGTAAGCAAATATAATAACAGTCACCAGTCATCTTTTAATATAATTGTAAGCATCCTAAATTAAAGGAATGAAGTACATTTGGCCCAAATATATATATATATATATATATATATATATATATATATATATATATATATATATATATATATATAATTTTTACCCCGACTAAGACTTGAACTTAGGACTTATTATTACTAAGCAAATGCGCTACCAACTACACTTCAGAAGGTCTTAAAAGGGAAACAAACCATACAGCTTATATCTGCTATACTAGGAATGAACACATTCTATCTGAATGCTACTATGTTCATATTACAGTTTCCCCTAACCTCACTCGTGGTTTTGTTTTCGCATTTAATTCAACACTCAATCTCATTTGGGACCAACAATAATCAAATAAGCACATTACCATATCTGAAAACATGAATAATTTTTACCCCGACTGGGACTTGAACCTAGGACTTATAATTACTAAGCCAAGACACTACCAACTACACCACAGATCTTAAAAGGAAAACACACAGCTTACATCTGCTATACTAGGAATGAATGCATCCTATCTGAATGCCACTATGTCCATATTACAGTTTCCCCCAACCTCACTCATGGTTTTGTTTTCGCATTTAATTCAACTCCCAATCTCATTAGGGACCAACAATAATCAAATAAACACATTACCATATCTGAAAACATGAATCATTTTTACCCCGACCGGGACTTGAACCTAGGACTTATAATTAATAAGCTATTCAGATAGAATATGTTCATTCCTTGTTTAGCATATATAAGCTGTAAGGCCTGTTTGCCATTTAAGACCTTCTGTGGTGTAGTTGGTAGCACCTTAGTAATTATAAGTCCTAGGTTCAAGTCCCGGTCGGATTAAAAACGATTCATGTTTTCAGATATGGTAATGTGCTTATTTGATTATTATTAGTCCCGAATGAGATTAGGAGTTGAATTAAATACGAAAACAAACCCACGAGTGAGGTTGGGGGAAACTAATATGAACATAGTGGCATTCAGATAGAACGCATTCATTCCTATTATAGCAGATGTAAGCTGTAAGGTCTGTTTCCATTTTTAGACCTCCTGTGGTGTAGTTGGTAGCACCTTGTTTTAGTAATTATAAGTCCTAGGTTCAAGTCCTGGTCGGGGTAAAAATGATTCATGTTTTCAGATATGGTAATGTGCTTGTTTGATTATTATTGGCCCCGAATGAGATTGGGAGTTGAATTAAATGCAAAAACGAAACCACGAGTGAGGTTGGGGGAAACTGTAATATGAACATAGTGGCATTCAGATAGAATGCGCTCATTCCTAGTATAGCATATATAAGCTGTAAGGTCTGTTTCCCTTTTAAGACCTGCTATGGTGTAGTTGGTAGCACCTTGGCTTAGTAATTATAAGTCCTAGGTTCAAGTCCCAGTTGGGTAAAAATGATTCATGTATTAACATATGGTATTGTGCTTATTTGAATATATATATATATATATATATATATATATATATATATATATATATATATATATATATATATATATATATATATATATATATATATATATATATATATATATATATATATATATATATATATATATATATATATATATATATATATATATATATATATATATATATATATATATATATATATATATATATATATATATATATATATATATATATATATATATATATATATATATATATATATATATATATATATATATATATATATATATATATATATATATATATATATTATATATATATTATATATATATATATATATATATATATTATATATATATATATATATATATATATATATATATATATATATATATATATATATATATATATATATATATATATATATATATATATATATATATATATATATATATATATATATATATATATATATATATATATATATATATATATATATATATATATATATATTTGCTGCAGTTATAACAATGGTGTTGCAGTGCATATTTTATGTAAGTACTTGTTTGAAGTAAACTTGTCAGCAGTGATGGTGATAACATTAATGTTATTCTCAAATCCTAGTGTCTTTTAAAAGTCAGCCAATTGTTGTATCTGTATTATTGTGAAGTCTATATGTCTCAAATGGTAATTGAATACCTTGGCAGCTCTGCTATTGTGTGGAGTGTATGCCTTTATCAAGTTTTTATTTGGAGTGAAAGTGGTATCTTTTTGTTGTACATTGTCTACGCTGTTTCTTTGTAGTTAGCTTTTGTCTGTTTCCACCCCCATTTTATAATGAAATGCATTCTTCTGATGTAATATCTACACCGTATTCTGAATAATGCTGTCTGGTGATTAGTCCACTGTCTTTTGAAATGGGCAGAATGGGGAAAAATATACTGAGTATTTTGAATTCTGTGTTTATTCCTGGGGATCAGTCATTCCGGTTTAGCATACACAGTTATTATTGATTTTTAATGTTTTGTTGTTATTGTCAGTGATTGGGAATGGAAGCAATTATCTCAGTCTTTGTGATATGAGTTTGGATGTTGAATATATTTGTTGTACACTTGGAGAATTTTACTAGAAAAGTTAGATTAAGAAACAAAAGAGGAATACCATCATCAGTTGAGCTTTAATGGATTAGCCACTATTATAGAATTATAGAATAATCTGTTTTTAGCTGAAGTTGAGTTGTAAATATTCAGTCTTTGGAATTATTTATTTACAAAAAGGCTGTTGTATGTGCTCTTGTAAATAGAACAAACGTTTGATGTGCAATAGTTAGCATCTTTATATAAGAACCTTATGAGTACTAAAGAGATGAGAGATAATTTTGAGTTTGTGGACTTTATTTCCAAGCATATCATAATGGAGTACATAGCTTTCCCTATTTTATAGATAAAAATTGGCAATTTCTAAACAGATCATCATCAGTGATAAATTTACTCAAGCTCCTTTGCTCTCTATAATGGCTGCTGACATGTAGGAGAGTAAAGAGTTTTTGTGTTTATGAACAATTTATTTGTAATGATTGGGACGGAAAAAATGCATATGTGTCGAATATATTTATTTGGAATAAATATGGAACTTGTATTTGGCAGCTTTTATTTCAGTTTTAAAAGAAAATTCATTTCTATAATGTTAAGCTTTCATTTTGCAATGTTAATGCTATGTAGTAGTAAAATAAAAGAGGATGTTCTGTGTAAGTCAGTGTTGTGAACTTTGCAAGTGATAACTTAAGGTCAAACTTTGTAGTAACTTTAATTTTTTTTTTTTGTTTTAAGAATTTGCTTTCGAGAAATGTGAATTGTCCAAAATCAAAATTTTCTAAAAGTTATTTCTCTTGGCTGCAAAACAAATTAAGCTTCATATACTTGAACTTCAAGTTTCATATTTTAAACCATCTAAATACTTGATGTTAACTTGTATACATTCAGCTGAGACTTACTTTAAATGCTAAGTCCATTTAAGGTTTGAAAACTATTATTATTGATATTTAAAACAGTTTCCTTATAGTTTTTGTAGATTTTTTTTATATGTGAGAAATAATGCTCATATATAGGGAGCTCATTGTCTCAGAGATTTTAAAATGTTAAAGTTTCTTTTTTTAATTTTGAAGTGAATCACTTGGCTTATGTAAAATTTTGTGAATGTGTGAGAGACATGACTTAATTTTTTTTAGTACTTTTTTATATTTTTTCTGTCGTCATAAAGATGTCACATTTATCAAAATCCTGCTTTACTTTCATGATATAGATGCTTCATATCTCAAGCAAATGCTTTTGACAACTGGAGGGATAGGGCATTGTCCAATATTACTTCTATATATTTTCCTAGTTATCTCAGTGAGGGTTTTAGCCACCTAGGAGCTCATTAGGATTATGAAAATAAGTTATTTTGAGAATAAACATTGCACTGTGTAACACTACTCAGCACTACCTACTAATTAAATTAAACTTCCTAGAGTCATAACCCTAGTAAAAAGTGCATATTTTCACCATTCCTAGTGACTTCAGGCATTTGATCAGCATCTGATATAGTTGTTGAAAGGTATTAAGTTGAGAATGATAGTTCTTATATGAAAGCTTTTATACTACTTGAAGGTTGGAATACATTTTCACTTTGTATATGGAGTCTGCGACCTTTTTTGTGATTCTTTCTGAGCTATTATTAAGCCTTCCCATCCTTTAAGAGGGTGTACCTTGAGTATTTCAAGCTAATGATATACAATGTACTATGTTTATAATTGGAGGTGAATTCATTTTACAATGCCTTGAATTTCTTCACTTTTTTTGTTCCTGTTCAACTCTTAACTGTTTTTAGCTTGGTCAAAAATATAAACAATCTCATGATTTAACACCTGCTGACCTATATGTTTGTGTTTTGGACTTGTTGACTTCCATCTTTCACCGAATTATTGTTGTCAGAAATATTTTAGAATGATAATACCAAGTTGGAGTTTCATAAGGCTTGTTCATTTTAGCTTCTCCTTTATATACCGGATATCATTAGCACAGCCTCCTTTAGAAGTCTGTCTGCTTGAAGTTCAATGTATAACATTCTCCTACGTCCACAAGTAAGGTGTGGATGATTTTGGGATATCACATCCAATTCTCTTTTGTAGTATACAAAACCCAATTCTACATGCAGTTTCTTTGAGGTGCTGGTTAATTCTTTAGTCTTGGTTGTGTATTAAAGTTTATAAAAAAATCATAATTATAATGTTAACGACCACACCCACATCTATTGGAAAATTTCAGAGCCATTTCTAATTCTCTTTATTACTTTGTTGGTAATAACTTGGTTTGAATTTTACACTGAAAACAAGCAGATCCTTATGGATAAAGCAAAATTTTATTTCTCATTTTTAAGGCGTTGCATCTCAAAAATGTGAAATATTAAATTTATATGCATTAGCATAATAAATGTTCTTTGTCTCATAAATACACATTTTTAATATTTTCATGAATTAGGCGTTATTGTTCCATTAACTTTATGTCCTGTCAGGCTTGCTATTTAGATAGTTCGCTATTTTCCTCACCATCTGCACTCCAGTACATCACCTACTGCATCAAGCAATTATTAAATGGATGGTTTGCTAGTGATGGAGATTCTTCTGAACATCATTGTCAATATGTCCTTGTGTTGATTCATACTCCTTTAATTAAGAATGATTCAATTATTAGTAGTGGATGCATGCAGATTTTTTTTCTTAGGAATATTTTGTTTT